TCTTCCTGAGGTCAGCAGGTGGCCACACGGGACCATGGGGATGGAGTTAAATGTCCCCACTGTGTGGGCTGAGTCAGAGCCTGGAGGCCTGACCCAGTCTGTAGGAGGAGCTGGGATGGGCTCAGGCTGCCCCACAAGGGTTTGTCTCCCTTCCCCCCAGTCCACAGCTCACTCACCAGATGCCAGGAACTTCTCCCCATAGATCTCCTTGACCTCTGGGCTGGCCTGATCCCATGCTTCCTGGATGGCCCTAGAAATCTTCTCAGAGTTGGTTACTCCAGTGTTGAAGAAACCAGGCTCAATCACAGCCACCTTCACCCCAAAGTAGGAGAGCTCCCTCCTGCAAGACAGACAGGCAGAGGGGCAAGGACGTCAGAAGGCTCGGGGACAAAACACAACAAACAAACCCGATATACACCTAACTTGGGATTGGGGTGGGATAAACTCAAAAGCTCGGACAGGTTCCAAGAGCAGCATCCAGGGGGAGAAAATAATGATGATGTATCTCTGCATAAGGTGTGCACATGTTTTCCAGTACTGTCCACACGCGTGCTGGCTAGCTCACATCCTACCTCTTCTGCTGTGAAGCACCACTTACGTGCCATCTTTTCCTATTTCCCTTCACATCCAATCCATCTCCAGACTTTGCCCATTTTACCTCCTGTACCCTGCTCCCTCGTCTGCCTTCTGTCCTCTGAGGAACATCTCTGCCTACATCTCAGATCCCCGACACCCAGAGCCAACCTCTGCCCTGCGGCCAGTGGGTTCTCCGGAGGCTGATTTGACCACGTTGCTCCCCTGAGTAAATCCCTTCTACGGGGTCCTGCTGCCAATAGCAAGAAGGTTTGCAGCCTGTCCGGGGCCCCCGTGTCTCCTTGAGCCCACCTGCCCAGCATCCCCTCTGCCTGACCAGGCCTTGTCCACTAGCCTAGAGGACCCCACAGCATAGGCAGTCAGCCATTACTCACCCTGGGCTTGGGCTCGAGTCGTTCCCTCATACAGGAGGCCTTCTGACCCTACTTTGCCAGGTTTCCAAGTTCATTTCTTCAATCCTCAGCTCAGGCCATTCTCTAAGACTCTCCCCTTGTTCTACTGGCCACCACCACCACCATAGCTAGCTAAGTTAGTCACGACCAACGTGATAGATGGTCACAGCATTTGTGTCTCTCTTGTCCCTTTCTCAGCTGTCAGACATTTTAGGTCAGGGACCTTGTCTTGTTGTCCTCAGACACATTTGTTGTGCACTCACAGAAATGCCGAGAAGCATCTTGTTGAACTGAGTCAAATGCTGGACCTCCATGTCGAGGGCCCCCTGAAGCTGAATATTATAGGAATTATGGACATGAGCTCTGTAGCCAAATGATCTCAGGTCCAATTCTGCCTCAAGCATTTCCCAACTGTGGGCCCTCCTCCAGGGCAACCATAGGTGAAACCAACTGTATAGGCCTGGGGCCCATCCCAATGCCCAGAACACGGGAAGGTGCTTCCCAATGAATTCCTAGCACGAAGCAAGACAGAGGCATCTGGAAGGAAGAGCCTTTGAGGTTGTGAGTGATTGAACCCCCTGGAAAATCTCCCCCAGAAGCACAGAAGCAGGAAGACTGAAAGGATGGGCTCTGTCCCAGTCCAATACCTGAGGGAGTCGGAGAAGGCCTCGACGCCATACTTGGAGATGCAGTAGCTCCCACCCAGAAGGGACACCCGGCCCATGATGCTGGAGATGTTGACCACGCGGCCCCTCGCCTTCCTCACTAGGGGCAGCAGGCTCAGGGTCACCTCTATCAACCCCAACAAGTTCACGTCAAGTATCTTCATGAAGTCCTGCTTGGTCAGCCACTCGTTGGGTGCCGAGGGAATGGAGATGCCAGCATTATTCACCAGGCCCCAGAGTCCTGGTTACAGGGTAGGGAGAGAGCAACACCATGTGCCTGAGTGAGACACGACTGTGGTTCCAAGTCACCTTCCAATCCACTTTTTTTTTTTTTTTTTTTTTACCACATCAACAACATCTACATGTATAAAGGAAAAGGGTGCAAGAGAGGAAGTGAGAATGAAGTGACTACGGGGCATCAGCGTTTGCACGCACACTGAGCTATTGGACCGCAGGGATGTTCCTTCTCAACTTGCTGCTCCTCAGTGCCTGGCATACCAGGGGCAATAAGCCCAGCTTCGTTAAGAGTGTGCCCAGGTGCACCCAGATGGCTCAGTCAGTTAAGCGTCTGACTCTTGATTTCAGCTGAGGTCATCATCTCACGATTTGTGAGATCGAGCCCCGCATAGGGCTCTGTGCTGACAGTGTGGAGCCTGCTTGGGGTTCTCTCTCGGTCCCTCCCCCACCGGCTCATGTTCTCATTCTCTTTCTAAAAACACACACACACACACACACACACACAAAACCATTAAAAAGTATTTTTAAAAAAGAAAAAAAAAAAGGATTTGACAATGAAAATGCTGATCATAGGATACATAACTATGTAACTGACTCTGGAAACTGATATTTGGAAAATCTCCTTTTATCTTTATCATCTTCTATGTTGTATACAAAGAGCATGTTTTACGTTTTTAATCACAAAAAAGACATCAATGATGTCTTCTTTCCCGAAAAGGGCAGGCAGCATAATAGAGGGGGAAGAATAGGACCCCTCACCCACATTTGACCAAAAGTCCCTTCAGCTCCCTCATAAGCCTCAGTGTCCTCATAAGTTAAGTGGGGCTGATCTTAAAGCCCTGCAGAGGGCCCGGTGGGAAGGAACCAACAAGAAAATGTGTATCTGCTGAGATCAGGAGCCTGGGTCTAGCCTGGCTCAGCCCCACGCTGCCCCGTAGCAAGCCTCAGTGTCCCAACACCTCCTCAGACTATTGGCCCTAAACTCAGGCTGAGCTCATTTAACCCTGGGCTCAGACTCAGGCACTCAGGCCTTCTGCTCAGGAAACTCCAAAGCTTGAGGCTTCGAAAATCAAAACATCCTGGGAATCTTCCCAGTTAGCAGAAGAGAGGTCTCCCTTGCACAGAGAGAAGCAACAAAGAGGCACAAACAGGAATCTGGGCAGTACCTCTGTCTCCCACACGCTCCTTCACCCACTCGGTGGCCGCAGAGATGCTCTCTGTCTCGGTGACATCCAGGATCGCCGTCTCTAGCCTGTCTGACGTCTGGTCTCTCAGCTGCTCTGCCCCCTTCTCCGTCAGACACGCGGCCAGCACCCTCAAGCCTCGCAGGTCCAGCTGCCTGGCCAGCAGGTTCCCGAAGCCTGAGTCACAGCCCGTGATGAAGACGTACTTGTCTCGGAGGTCGCTCACCACCTGCCTCTCCCGGTACCAGCGCAGGAGGTAGTACAGGCCCACGAGGGCCGCCAGGTACAGCCACATGGCTTTGTGGGGAACACACAGGCTGAAATGAAACAAGAGTGTAGCCGGTGTTCAGACAGGATGACTTAGGAACACACAAGGTGTGAGTAGCGGGCCAGCCGCCAGGCTGTCTGACATGGAGTCCTCAAGTTCTTCCTGGTCACTCCCTTTAGTGAGTACTCTTGATTCCGGCCTCAACTGGCATGCTCTTCGGTACATTAATGCTGTTTCTACTAGATGCCATTGGATTTCACAAAGAATCCTTTGACATGAGGATACTTTTCTCAGTCACCTTCTCCTGGTCCTTCCACTCCTCCCATTTTCCTCTGCCCACCTACTCCCTCATACGCACCCCCCCAACCCTCCCCCCCCC